CTTTCATTGTTTTACAAACCCTCCCCCAGGTCCACTCCACAATGTAGCCATCACTCTAGACTCCTGTTATGACAGAAATACCTAATCACATATCTCTTTTAAACAGTTTTCTCCCTCGTCTGTTTCAGTGCAGTATACGTTATTGAACCCATCTTTCTCAGTCTCTCCCCAACCCCAAGGCTGGATTTCTTTTATGGTCTCTTTGGGGTATATTCACAGTAGTGGAATTGCTGGGTCAAATGGTATCTCTATTTGCAACTTTTTGAGAAAGTGCCATACTGCCTTCCACAGGGGTTGCACCATTTTACACTCCCACCAACAGTGAATAAGTGTTCCAGTTTCTACACAACCTCGCTAGCATTTGTTGCTTGCTGTTCTGTTAAATTTTGCTATCCTGACTGGGGTGAGATGATATCTCATAGTTGGCAGCTAAGTTTCTTACAACTAAGCCACTAGTGCTCCCTCTTATTATATCTTTTTATGGTTAATATTTCTTATACTAAATTATACCTTATAATGAGCTCTGGTCGCATACTGGCAAGAAACTGCACTGAAATCTCAAAGGAACACAGTTCCAGGCCACCAGCTGCTCCATGGGAGAAGGATGGGTAGTCTCCTCCCATGTTATTAACTGCCTTTGAAAACCCGCTGGAGAGTCAGTTATGGGATGGTTCTGACTCTATGGTATACAACAACAACATACCTTATAATGGTATAAATTTGCATAAAATAAATATAAAGTTTATTCAGTTAATTATCAAATTTGTTGACATTTATAGATGTATATCACTATTCTAATTAATCTGTAGAACATTTCTCATCATTTCATAGATCTCTGTTACACAGATTGACAATCAGTTCTATTCCTTGGCCGTAGCTCCAGGAAACCACTAATCTGTTAGTTAAAATATTTTTAGTCCTTTATATAATACATCAAATTTATTTAATCCTTAAATAATGAAGTATTAAGGAAAGACTTTTTTTCTGATGATTTTACAAGTGGAATTGAAAAAAGAAGCTTGAATATAATATATAGGTTATAGAAGGAGAATTGATGCGTTTGAGCTGTGGTGCTGGAGAAGAGTATTGAGAGTACCATGGACTGCTAGGAAAACAAACAGATTCATCCAGCAAAGGGTTAAACCGGGCGGCTCCTTGGAGGCAAGGATTCTGAGGCTCCATCTAACATACTTTGGACATGATGTAAGGAAGGACAGTGCAGGAGGGGAAGGCCCTCTATGAGGTGGATTGATTCAGTGACTGGGGCAATTGGGATGGGTGTATTGGAGACGGTGCGATTGGCACAGGACAGAGCAGAGTTTAGGGCTGTTGTACATAGGGTCGCTATGAGTCGCAAGTGACTCGACGGCACATAACAACAACAACAACCACCCTAAGATATCTTTTTGGAAAATAATATTCAAATGTTTTTTTGCCTGTTTATTTGTGCTTGCAAATAATCTAATCCCTTAATTTAGATGTAAGAAACTTTATCTTTAAACTTCTTTCTTTCTTCAACAGGCATGTGTGATTCTTCTAGGCCTTCTCCTCCTCTATGATGTATTTTTTGTATTCATAACACCATTCATCACAAAGGTATGACTATGTTTTTTAAGTCTGAAGAAATCTGTTCTTAGATTGTTGATCTTGCAGAGTTTTATTACTGAGTGAATCCTAATTAAAAGAATTTTTGAACCTGACCTTTTAAAGGGATTTTTTTGTTCCAGACCTTTAAGCCATTTTATTAGCTAAAAAAATGTTTCCGGATCACTATGAACTTGAGAATATCTGTAATTTTATTGTAAAATGCCTTTTTATTTATTTATTTAAAATACCTTTCTATAAAGGTATTCTAAAATACCTTTTATTTTAAAATATCTTTATTATAAAGTAATAAATGTTCACTGTCAGAAAACAATATAGGTAACAGAAAGAAAAATCTCTCTTTATGTTTTCATTGCTGTAGGCCTAGCTTGAGACTAAGAGCACCCAAGAGAAAGTATGAAGCGATGGTATAGCTTGGTAACCGTGTAACTCTGGGCAATCCACTTAGCCCTTTTGCTATAGTTTCCTGATTCATCGAAAAAGTATTGTTAGCATTCTTTCTGCCTTCACTCTCCTCCATATGACCCTTTCTCCCCTATCAGTAGGTTTCTTTTAGTTGCAACTGATAGAACCAAACCTAAACTAGACTAAACTGTGTCTGAGAAGAAACTAAGCCCAGAAATGCATCCATTCCCTTTCTTCTTCTGTTTAATTCTTTGTTCTCTGAAATGGACTTTCCCCTCAAGTTTAGAATGAGACATATTGGCAGTTCAGTTCAAAAGTCAGGTGTTCCCAGGTCTGCCAATAACTCCTCAATAAAATGTTAATGCTATCCCCAGAATAAAGAGGAGTGCTACGTGAATGTGAAATAACTTCAATATTTGCCCAGTTTTTCCACTTTCCTGTGTCATGAATGTTATTAAATTTTGCTTAACTCTCTGATTTTCTCAATTTAAAATTTTGAGTCTTGCTTTGTAACTTTATCCTTTGTATTTAGTATTTAATCACGTAGTTAGTATTTTTTTCCCCAGTTGTTTTTATTATTTAGGCCCTAAATGCATAAGATCCTTTTAAAAATCTACACTGTGCCTTTGACAGGGGGAAATTCTTAACTACTTTTCTATCCCCTGACTTTAGTAGAAAATACTTGTGTTTTTCCTCTTGACACATTTCTGTCTTATAAAGATTCTCACTTCCACAGGCTTTATTGAACTTAATTACCCAAGTTATGGCCACCTACACTGTTTTACTATCCTTCTGTGTTTTACTCTACTTTGTGAAATTTATTGCCTTCCATGTGAGAAAACACATATTCAGTTCCTGGCATCTCATGTGCAGCCACTACTCATCTGTCATTGGAGTTTTGAGTGTTGCTCTGTTACTGACAGATTTCAGTGGAGGAGGACAGACTAGAACAAAAAGCCTGGAGGTCAATCTCTGGAAAGGGGTAGATCTTTGGAAAATCAACCATTGAAAACTCTGTAGATCACCATTGGTCCTTCCTGCTGCCAGTCATGGGGTGGAATAGGACAAGGCCATATTTCATTCTTTTGTGCATGGCATCACCATGAGTTAGGGCCATAGCAACTGAAAATGGCAAAATGGTTTATTAACATGTCCTCTTTCCCTAAGGATGAACCCCTTGACTCCTTGGCTTTGAATTTGTTGTTAACTGTCATTCAGTTAGTCCCCAACTAATGGTGACCCCATTCACAGTGGAATCAATCACTGTATCATTTTACAAATGGTAAATTCATCTACAAGCAAGATATTCATAAAAGGCCCGCTGATGACATAGTGGACAACACATTGGGCTCTTCTTCCCCCAAGAGCAGGTGTCATTGAGCCTTTGCCTAAGGTAGACGTCTGCTAAAAGATGTTGGCTTAAAACCCTGCAAGGGGATGGGAGGGGACTGCTGGCAAGACCCTGGAAGACCCGACTCTGGGAGTTTGACTTTTTGCTGCTTGTGGATGGTGGTCCTGCTGGGCAAGTAAAAGGAAGTTTTTGGGGTTGTTGGGTTTTTTTGGGATTGGGTTTGATGTGTATTACTGCTCTTTTCTCCCTAAGAGCAGGTGTCCTTGAGCCTTGGCCTAGTGTGGAAGTCTGCTCAAAGGTGTTGGCTTAAAACCTCACAGGGCCCCCAGGCCTGTGACCCTCAGAACAAATTTATTAATTTTTGGATGAATATTCCTTGAATGACACAGCAATCTTTTGTGTATTTGCTGAACTGAACAACTTGGTGGTGCTGTGGTGCTTCACACTGTTCCATACTCTTGTCAAACACCATAATGGTTACCAATTATGTACAGTGTTTGGATGAGCTTCCAGACTGATTTATGCTGGGAAGCAGGAGTAGAATCTACTTCCTAAACTAGACGCCTCTGGAAACTCTACAAACTCTCTAAACTCTATAAATGTACAGAAATGATGGTAGTTATAGAGCAGAGTTCTGTACAGAAATTATGTTAGTCACAGAACAGAGTTTAGGTCTTTTGAGAAAAACTTAACTCTCAGTCATATTCGACTTAATGACACTTAAGCCACTGCCAAGTGAAACTAGTGCTGTTATATCTGGAGGAACACTCTTTCACTTTGTACATCACTCTTTGTCAATGTGCAGTATAAAGTAACCTGGGTTGCTATGATGCTGAAACTTGTATCTTTAGAGTATCAAATACCAGAATGGCTTCCCAATATGGACAGTGTTTGGTGGAGCTCCCAGTTGTAAAACAGGTTTGGAAGCAGGAGTGGCATCCACTTCCTAAACCACATGCCTCTGGAAAATCTGTGAACTTGTACAAATGACAACAGTTATGGAAAGGTCTTTTGTTCATAAAGTCGGTATGAGTTGTGCTTGACTTGATGGCAGTCAACAACAACAACATGCCTAAAAGTCCCCCTGGTGATATAGTGGACGACACATTAGGCTGCATAAACTGCTCTTTGGATGAAAGATGGGCGGTCTTCTCCCATAAAGATCTACAACCTCAGAACAACTAGGAAATGTCATCTTAGTAAGAATAGCAAAATTCAACGGTGCAGCAAACAGCAAATGCTGGTAAGGTTGTGGAGAAACTGGAACACTTTTGCACTGTTGGTGGGAGTGTAAAATGGTGCAACCACTATGGAAGGCAATATGGCGCTTTCTCAGAAAGTTGCAAATAGAAATAGCATTTGACGCAGCAGTTCCACTACTGGGAATATACCCTAAAGAAACCAGAATTGCCACCCGAGCAGATATATGCACACCCATGTTTATCACGGCTTTGTTCACAATAGCAAGGAGTTGGAAACAACCTAAGTGCCCATCAACAAACAAATGGATAGAGAAGCTGTGGTATATTCACACAATGGAATACTGCGGCTGCATTGAAAAACACGGAACTCATGCAATATTATTCAAAATGGGTGACCCTGGAGGACATGATGCTGAGTGAAATGTCTCAGTCACAAAAGGACAAATACTGCATAGTGCCACTGTTGTAAAACGGAACTGACCTTGGGGTTGGGGTGAGACTCAGAAAAGAGGCGATAAATAATGTATACTGCATTGAAACAGATGATGGAAAGAACTGTTTAAAAGGAATATAGGATTAGGTATTATTTTCATGACAAGAGTACAGAAAAAGAAATGCATATTAAAGTAGACTGTGAACTAGGGGGGATTGTATAACAATGAAAGATTTTCTTCTTCTTCTTCTTCTTCTTCTTCTTCAAAGAGAAAAACGAACTGAGGCGGAAAGCTAGGTTGGGAGGATCTACAACCTCGAAAATGAGTGGAGCGTCACTTGGGGTTGGAACCATTTGGTGGTGGTGGATTTTGACTGGTAGTAACTCATGGTTGCTGTGATGCTGAACACTGGGACACTGATGTGCCAAACGTGGCAATGGGTACCCATGGTGGACAGTGTTGGCTGGAGCTTCCCGACTAAAACAAGCCTAGAAGCAGGAGCGGCATCCACTTCCGAAATGGCTTCCCTCCGGAAACTCTATGTATGAACAGTGCTCAGGCCGTTCGTTCATAGGGTCGCTATGAGTTGTCTGCACTCGACGGCACCTAACAACAACAACAACAGTATCTAAAAGGAACCCAGGGTGTGTAGTGCAATTATATGTGGTGCTGCTATCTGAAAGGTTAGCTGCTTGAATCCTTCAGTCACTCTGCTGGAGATAAGACCATCTTTTCCTCTAAAGATTTACACTCTTGGAAACTTAGTGGAGAGACACCATGAGTCAGAATCAACTCATAGGCAGTGGGAGTTAGTGAGGATGCATAAAAAAGTTTGGAATTTTAAAGGCATAGCTTAATAATAAAGATGTCTTTGAACCTTCTTTCTTTTATGCTTAGGAAATTGTTCATCTTTTTCCTATCTTAGTTCCTGTCTACTCACAATGTAATTTCTAGCATTCTGACATGATACATAAAACTGAGGTTTTATTGGGGCTTACTATTATAGATATTAACTCTTTTCACCATCTGACTTGTTTGTTTTTAAGGCTATTGTTCTCACTTTATTAAGTAATTTAATTGCAGATACTTCCGACGTTTTGTTTTGAGATATGATTAATTGTTAGCTGGTTTAAATATGAGTTTGATCAGATATTAGTGGACTTCTAGTGAATTGACCAGGCAAGTGGTCGTAGGAGTATAGGCAGAAAGAGCCCATCATATTTACTGTTCGTCCTTCACTATAGTTGATATCTTAAAGATAATATTTGCAGAAATATTTTTTTAATGTACGGGAGGAAGACAATGCTGGTCCTCAATTAAATGGTTGAAATAACAATTGGAAAATGAGTCAAAGTTTATTCATTATTTGGAAATTTTATTACAACCTTTTTATTACAAATTTGTTTTAAAAACTTGAATTCATTATCTATCAGTGTATTTTCTCAAACTCTTTGACTTAACCCTTTTGCAACTTAGACACCTACATGAAGAAAGATTTCTGTAGTTTGAGATTTTTTGTCCTTTTTACTTGGCTCACATCTATCAGAGATGATGAAGATAACACAGGATAGGACAGAATTCCAGTCTGTTGTTCATAGGGTCTCTATGAGTCATACTGGATAGCACCTAACAACCACCACCACCTTTAGCTCAGGCTATCAGTGAGATTGTTTTTTAAATAGTTAAATAATATCCCATATGCATCTTACCCACATGGAAAATACTGTAGTTATTCAATATAATGTTCCTAAAATTGAGCATTTATGTTTCTTTCTAATACCTGTTTTGCTGATATATTTATTAGAAAGTAAAGTATAAAATGGTGCTTGATGCAACCTTATCTTGCTACCTCAGAATGTTTCCCCTTTGCACAACTTGTTTGGTATTTAGGAAGGAACTTTTTTATTAATCTCTTCCACAGCACACATATTTAACAAGAAAAAGGGGAAAAAATTTTAGTCAGACACAGGAAGGGAACTTCCACTAAACTAATGTTTTGATTGGACCATAGAAAGTAGCTAGGACTGAATTTGGGCAGCCAGGATAGAGAAACTTCTGTATTTCTTTAGGGTTGAGTCTTCAAGTTTAACTTCATTATCTTGGTAAAGAGCCAGAATGTAAATTACTGTTTAGTCAAATAAAGTTACTGATGGTTACTACAAAGCTAAATTTAAAATGTACTAGTATTTCCTATGCTTGTAGCCACTGTTATTTCTGAAAATAACTTAAAACCATGATATATGACATAATATCACTAAAAACACTTAAATTATAGACTATTACAAATGTTAGATAGTGTCATGGCAGTATTCAAAATCAGTGTTCAAAGATTTGCTGTGTGTGATTTCTCAGTCAGTTTCTGCTAATCATTGAATTCTGATTAAGTGATCAGTGTACTTAGTGAATGTTGTTTTAGATTACTTCAATTTTTGTTGTCCAAGAGACTCTTTTAGGATAAGGAGCTCTGATGACGTGGTAGTTAAAGCACTCAGCTACTGACCAGAAGGTCTGCTGTTTAAATCCACCAACTACTCCAAGAGAGAAAGATGTCGCAGTTTGTTTTTGTAAACAGTAAAGCGTGGAATACCCTGTGAGACAGTTCTACTCTGTCATCTAGGACCACTGTGTTTTGGAATAAAACACAGTGGCTTTACAGCCTATTTTTAGCCAATTTATGATATTTCATGTACTGTGATAATTATAGTGGATTGTTCCCTTTAAATGATTGAACAACATTTTCTTTCCTCTTCCCTCTAGAATGGTGAGAGTATCATGGTTGAACTTGCAGCTGGACCTTTTGGAAATAGTGAAAAGGTAGGGATAATAATTAAAAAGAACTGGCTACTCATTGTGTGTATGTAAGTCTAATTAATCATTTGCCTTCCATGTAATTCATTGGGTATGTAGTGCATGTTAAAACTCAGCATGTTAAGGTATTGTAAAACTTTATTTCTCACAAAATATAGCCCTTTTCTTAGTTATTCTAAATTATTAAAAATCTATTGACTTGGGTTTCATCCTAGAATGATGGAAACTTTGTGGAAGCCACTGCTCAACCCTCAGCTCCCCATGAGAAAGTAAGGATTGTATTTCAGATACGTTCATTGGATTTTAAATCACACCCTCTTGAGACAAGACTCTTTTTTTGGGGGAAAAAAAAATTCAGATTGTCAGGGGAAAAAAAAATGTATTTCAAGGCTTGAGTCCTATTCTTGGCCAAAAAAGAAAAGTTAGATGTGGAATGCTGGATTAATAGTGTTGATTCTACATGTGTGTTGTGTTTCATTTTTCTAAACTACATACAGGCATACCTCAGATACACTACAGTTTTGGTTCCAGACCACCACAACAAAGTAAAACACAGAACTTTGCTTTTCCTGTGCATACAAAATTTTGTTTGCATTGTGGTATAGTCTATTAAGTGTGCCATAGTGGTATGGAAAAGTTGAAATATTGTGAGAATTACCAAAGTATGACTCAGAGACATGAAGCAGTAAGCTGATGCTGTTTGAAAAATGGCACCAATAGATTGCTTGAAAAGTGGTTGCCACAGACCTTCAATTTGTTAAAAAAAAGCATCATCTGAGAAGCACAATAAAGCAAAAGCACAGTAAAATGAGGTATGCTTATATCTATTTCTGTCGAACTTTCTATACACTCAGAGGATATAAATATGCCTAGTTTATATCCTCTGAGTTTTAGTTCTTTCAGAATGTCAGTTTTTAATTTTTAGGGTAATTGTTCTGTCAGTCCTTTTCTTTCTAAAATATAATGGTTTTAAAGAACCCTGTGAAACTTAATGGTAGCTTTTTGTTTTTTTCTCCTAGCTACCAGTAGTCATCAGGGTACCAAAACTGATCTATTTCTCAGTAATGAGTGTTTGCCTCATGCCAGTTTCAATTCTGGGGTTTGGTGACATTATTGTACCAGGTAAGTAATCATTTGTAACAATTTCAATAAGAATATTCTGATGAATAAACATTATATATATATATAGATAATAGATATTATATAAAAGGGTCTTAATCTTTCTTAAGGAGGCTTGATAGCACAAATGGTTATGCACTTGCTTGACTGCTAGTCAAAAGATTGGTGGTCCAGACTCACTCAGCAGGTCTGTTGGAAAAAGACTTGCTGCAGTTTGCTTCTGTAAATATTACAGCCAAGAAAATCCTCCTGGATGACTCTGCTCTGTTACATCTGGGATCACCTTAAGTCAAAATCCTCTTGATGGCACATAACAATAATCTATGTTTAGTATTTGTGACTGTTAGAGCTGCAGCACAAATGACCCAAAAATGAAAGCACTGCCATTCAACTCCTGGGGACCCTCTTCTCAAGACTATAATCTTCACAAGGAGATGACCTGTCTTCCTCCCACAGCAGATTGATTCAAAGCAGCAACCTTTGGGTTAGTGGCCCAAAACCTTATAAACTGTGCCACTAGAGTTCTGAAGAAGCAAAGAAAGGAAGAAAGAAGGAAAAACCATTTCATGGGGAGAAAATAAAGCGCAAATACAGCTTAAAATGTCTGCGGGTCGACAGCTTTGATGAAGGACAGGTGGCTCCAGCTCGGAGCCTGGCTAGGGCTCCTGGACCTCTGAGGTCTACCAACCCTGTAGCCAGTCCATGAGTTCTCAGCCGGGTAACATCAAGCGCAAACATAAGCATGGCTGGATCAAGTGCCTGAGCTTGCCAGCTGGCATGTTCAAGGGTCACAAGTCGCTGAGCCATTGAACATCACAGAGTTGTCCATAAAGCTTTTTCTTCATCTGGGTTGGGGGGCGTGGGGGGGGGAGTGTCTAAAAGAAATAAATGAGATCAAATTAAATTTTTCCCAAGAAAGGAACTTTCTAAAGATCAGACTATAAAGGGGAGGGGAAGCTAGCTACTGGTAAACTAAACAAAGAGAATATTGACACATTATGATAAATGTAATGTTACTGAGCAATTTGTGAGGAAGATGTTAAATGAGAATCTAACTTGCTATATAAACTTTAACCAGAGTCCAAAAAATACTACTTAAGAAAAGTAGTCTATTGGCAACAAGCAAAAATTATTTTATTCTGTAAAACTTAAGTTTTTTGAATACTTCTATGTTTAAGTTTATTACTGATTTTACTAGTTCTATTTCAAGTGCTATATAAAATCTTGTATAGTGTTACTTTGAGTCTGAATTGACACTAGAGCAACAGGTAGTATACTAAATATAAACCAAATATACGCAAACCCACTGCCATCAGGACAATTCTAATCCATAGCAGCTTTCCATTGGGTTTCCAAAGCTATAAATCTTTTATAGGATTTCTTCAGAGCTGCTGATGGATTCAAACCACCAGTCTTTATGATACCAACTCTACACATCATCCACAAGAGCTACTAGCACTTGACATAGAGTTGGTAAAAATACTATATATTTATAGTATTATTTTAGTAAATATAAACTTTTTTTAAAAATTCCACAAAGAATAGTTTCTTGATAAGACCTAACTTCTAATATGGGGAGAAATGTACCCCTTTTAAAAGATATGTGATTAAACAATGAATGTAGGGAAAAAATTAACAAGAAAAACTCAAGAAATTTATTTTAATTTTATAGGATCTCAAAGTAATTCACTCCAAAATTGATAAAGTAAAATTATCTTATTATTTTT